GAAGCTGCGCAACATTTGGATGTTAAGATAGGATTTTAAAGTTAATGTTATGAATGAAGCTTTGAAATATTCGGTACAGCCCTTTTGTGTGTTTTTGTCTTTTGATTGTTGTAACTTTGTTGTCGGCTTGTTGTCCTGATGGTCAGAGTAGTCTGACTGCTCATCACTGCATCAGGAGGTTGTACATGATGTCATTAGTAGGGTGTCCCCTGAGCTGTACCCTTTAACATTCTCTCCACAGATTGAGGTGTTGAACAAATACCTGCTTCTGACATCCAAGCCCATGATCTACCTGGTTAACCTCTCGGAGAAGGATTACATCAGGAAAAAGAACAAGTGGTGGGTTTGCGTTCACCTGCCCGTTGTGCATAAGTACATGTTGCAGCCATTGTTTGAACACCCTGCTGCCTGTTCTTCTCAGGTTGGCGAAAATCAAGGAGTGGGTGGACGCCCATGACCCCGGTGCTCTGGTGATTCCCGTGAGTGGAGCTGTGGAGTCTAAAATGCAGGACATGGACGAGGAGGAGAAGAATAAGTACTGTGAGGAAATGAAGACGCAGAGGTGAGACATGAACTCACGGTGTATCGTAAACCAGGTAGAGAAATAGTCCCTTAGGGCTTTGTTGATGAATCTCTCAATTATTATCATTATCACTTGTTTGCAGCTAATATAAATGTTATTAATTACTCCGGTGTTTTCCTTGCTGTGACAAATCAAAGTCTGCACCATTTTATAATTCTGTTTGAAGATATAATAACAGATGCTTTCATCATTGAATGCACCTTTTTTATTAGACGCATGTCTGCTTGAGCTGCTCCATCGTGACTTCTCTCTGTGTTTCTAGTGTTTTGACCAAAATAATCAAAACGGGCTACGCAGCACTACAGCTGGAGTACTTCTTCACAGCCGGACCAGACGAGGTGCGAGCGTGGACCATCAGGGTGAGTGCTGGGAAATAAATAACCCGTCTTTTAAGATCATTATTACCGTATGTTCTCAAAAGTCAGTGTTTTATTTCAAAATCCTCTTCATTGTTGTTTGAAAGCGTAATTTACAGTCGAAGACATTTTCTGTAAAATGATCATTTTGTCAAAATAAAGTTATTAGCAAACAAATATATGAATTAACTTATTTATAATAGGAAGAGCTCTTGTTGTCAAATGGGAATATCACATATTTATCATGAGTTGTGGGACAAATAATTCTCTCGTGTATTATATGTTTTCTCTCTTTCTTACAAATTTACAATGATGTGAGTATGTTTCTACACATTAACTGGTGTGTGGCATTGAGTGATTTAAACATCCTGGAAATTCGCGCCACGTTTGCATTCTTATCTGTGATAAAATTCTTCAAGGTTGCAGTGTGTTGAGATATTCTGAGTTAATCTCTGGTTATCTTCTTTATTTGCTGCAACAGAAAGGGACTAGGGCTCCTCAAGCTGCAGGAAAGATCCACACTGACTTTGAGAAAGGCTTCATCATGGCGGAGGTGATGAAGTACATTGACTTCAAAGAGGAGGGCAGTGAGAATGCAGCCAAGGTGTGTGTTTTTATAGAGCCTCGTTTAAAGCTTGAACTGGGACTGAATTTCTGCCAATAAAAACCGCTCTTGAATACAATTTTTAAATGTGTCCTCTCTTACAGGCGGCTGGGAAATACAGGCAACTGGGCAGGAACTACATGGTGGAGGATGGCGACATTATCTTTTTCAAATTCAACACGCCCAACGCACCTAAAAAGAAGCCGTGAGACCACACGATCACCAGAGGGAGAACTCAGAATACTGTTTAGTTTGCAAAGAGCTACACTGTGTGCTGGTTTTCATGTTTATCTTTTGAACTCAGAGGATCAGCTCAGCAGTTATTCACTCAACTGGCCTCACAGATCTGAATCAATTGGAATTTTTTCAATATAAAAACATTTCTACACAAGCATAGCTGTAATATTTGGCACCTTCTGTACCAGTCAAATATTTTTGAAAAGATTATATTCTAGCTTTCATGGTCCCAACGGAGAACAGGTATAACTGAACTGAGAAATGTATCATTTCTGATTTTATAGGAAATGGCCAATTAAGAAACTAACGGAACACAAACTGCATATTGCTTTATGATTGATGCTGTCCATGTGTTTTTAATATGCATCAGAGGATCACAGCTTGTCCCCTTTTCTAGACGCTTTTTTTAACATTCAAGCAAGAATCAAAGTCTCTTTTTTTTTTATCTTTAGGAAGATATTTGGTCCCTCCAACAATACCAGCTTGCCTTTCTGTCATTACTCGACAATTACCTTCATGACTGCTAATTGATTGGCGAGCTCTCGCATCATATCGACACGCTTTATTTCAGCTCGGCGTGCTCCATCTGTAAATCAGCTCTTATATCATACAAAAGTAATAAACAGTGCCACCGTAAGTGATAATATACAGCATGTGTTGTTTGGTACAGGCGCCTAATCAGCATTAATTAAGTAACGGACATCATAAATGAGTCTATGGTGTTTTTCCCTGGAATTAAAAGGACATGAACTATTTTCTTAGTTAATTTATGCCTTTTCCCTCAATTCAACTTTCTGCTATTCACGATTAAGTCATAATTCCTTTTCCAATTATGCTGAAAATGATACATACCTTTGACTGGTGCTGTGTTACCTATTATAGATAAAATGAAAAGCCATCGCTCAGTGTGGCATTTCAGGACAGAACTGTGCTGTATTCTGAGGGGAAGGATATTATTATTTTAGAAAGAGCAAAGCAGGAATCCCTGACAATGCAGAATGAGACGCCCGAATGGATCATTTTGTTATACACACTGCTTTTATTGTATTTGGTTTGGGTTGGTTTAAAAAAAAAAAAAAAAAAAAAAAAGGACAACATTCACATTATGAAGTCCACGCTGTGTCAAGAGATGAGGCTTCAGTGTAAACCAGCTCTGTGGATCTTCTGGGCTGCACAGCTTCACAATGCTTCTTGTTTCACCTTTCTGCCGCCACAGTGTGAATGTCTTTATTTTCAAGAGTCCCCTCATTTAACATCTTGTGGATAGAAAATGGACCTAAAGGAGCCCAGATACAATAAATGTCATCCTCATCAATATGCATGTGTCAATAAAAGGAGACGAACCTGTCATTGCTTTGTGTCTTTCTACTTTTTCCTCACGTTGGAGGCTAAAGTCACAACATGAGGGAATGAATGGACTGTAAAAACCATAGAAATATAATAGTAATGTTATTAACAGTCTTTAATTACGATCACTTAATAAATTTATATATTTAAACAAGCTGTGAACAACGGATGATCCCAATTTGTCTTTACTGATGCAGTAATAAGCTTCAAGTAAGACATATAACCCATCTGTCTTATGTAGTGATCACACATTTGCCAATTATATTTTTCTTATTTAAATGTTAAATCAATTCCATTTTTAAATGGAATTGCAAAAGGGGCATTATCATTTTCATTGTATGTACTTGTGCCTGCCTGTTTTAAAACAATCTCGCCACAAAATCCACTCAGTCGCTATTCTGGAGCCTTCGATCATATCAGCAGATGGAGATGTAGAAATTTGTGTCAATTCCATTTCTGGTTGATTTATAAATTATATTTGAGTGAAAACAATGAAATTGTGCTTCAGGTTTAGTCTGGAGTCTGTTGTTTTAGGGTTTAGGGTCCTTGGACAGAGGATGTTGAATGCCGTACAGGTTGTAAAGCCCTCTGAGGCTAATTTGTAATTTCTGATATTGGGCAATACAGATGTAATGTAATTTAATTTGTCGATGCATAATTCAATTTTTAGTGATTACAGCGTTTTTTCCAGGAATATCACCACAAACATTAAGTTTGTTATTCTGCAAATACTTAAATATTGCAATACTTTCATCAGTGAGTAACTGTGTCATAGATCATGACTTATTCAATGAAGATCTTCTGAGATTGCCACTTTTAGGACTTGAGATAACTTTTGAAAAATGCCTCGTTGTAGAAATGGAGGCCAAATGACAATTTACAGTGATCACAGAACTTTAAACGCTAAATCGTCTATTGCACGTTATGTGTAATGGCGAAAAGAAAACAGTATACATCTTAATTTTACATTAAAGTAATTAAAATAAATGGTGTAATTTCGACAGAAATGCCGCTGTTTAACAAGTATCTCAGTTGGGGGATTTTAACAACTGCATTCCTTCTCTTCACACGCTCAACAAACAGGAAACACACGTCCTATAAAAAGTGAGTGACGTTTCAGTTAGCCAATTACGTCCCCCGTACCCCTAGCTTAGCCAATCGCTTTAGAGAAGAAGGGCGGGACGTCCTGAAATGTGATGCAAATTCGAGCGTCAAGCCTGTTAGTCCCGCCCTTTTGTGTTTCCCGCACCGTCAATCAAAATAGAAAAAAATCGACCCGAATTCACCGATCAACACTAGCCCGCCTTTGATAAAATAATCATGTTTGGAGTTTAGTTTACCCGATAATCCTCCCGGTTACTACCACTCACGCTATGACCGGTACGTAAACGTTTACCGCATCGAAGCGTGCAACTAATCGGTGAGTTTGTGCAACCTACAGCGAAGCAAGCTGCGTCTTTTTTTATCTTTTTTGCTCTGCTGCTAACTAGCTAGATATGGTTAGCTAACGGAGCTAGCTGGCTAGCAACGAAGTTGACAAAGTAAACACGTCAATCTGGGCCGAAATTGCCACAGAATCTGCGCTGCAAAGTTGAGTTTCACAGTCAGCTCCTTTCGCACTGCAGAGTGGGGATGCTTTGCGAGCTTTTCTGTCAGGCAGGAGTTGAACATTACAGAGTTTTGCTGAGTTCCCCCCCTGTCTCTCTGCTAGCGCCAGAGCAGCCTCTCTGAAACAAGGAGAAATGGCGTCCGCGGACGTGGACAGCAGTCAAAGCGAGTTTCTGCAACCCGGCGGCGCAGCGGAAACACAGGTATCCCGACATTTTCTAGCTCGTCTTACTCGCTCGCTCGCTTTCGATTGCTGGGTTGTGTTTTTTGAGAGCATGAAGTTCACACGTTTTAAAAATTTGATGGCATGGGGTGAACGCCGTACACTTCCTGTGTTCCCCTCAATAACGGCCACCCACTTTACCCCTGTAAAACCCGCCCATAGTGGGTAGGACACTGAAGTCAGTCACTTGGGTCGGCTCGCTGGATAGATAGCCGGTTTACCTTACCGGGGTGTGATACTACTGCAGGGAAAGCGTCCGTAATCACAACAGTAGCGTTCAATTGTGTCGTAATAGCTGCCCATCCCCCACACCCATGCACTCGGTCATTTCTGAGCCTGTTATCTACACTCGGTGTGTTGGTGGTTGCTTTGAGGTTGTGGCTGTTGCATCGTTTGCATCAGCACACATCCTATATGCCCCCCCCCCCCAATCACTATGATTTACTCTCTTTGATGTAGCAGCACAATCTCTGAATCCACAACTACTTTTCAGAAAAATAGCCCGGCTGATTCTCCTTCTTCCCCCTGTGATCTAATCTAAAGCTGAGTATTCTTGTTGAAGTGTGATCTGTTCTTGTTAATCTTTGTGTACAATTTGACTCCCAGACCACAGACATGTCTGCCATTCAGCTGACGGGTTCAGACCGATGGGAGGTGTTAACGCCCGTCTCAACCGGGAAGGAAGATCAAGGAATTGTCCACATTCAGAACTCTGGGATTGTCACCTCAAACGGGCAGTACATGCACATTGGGAGTCTCCCCAACCAACCCATTTATGTCACAGCATCCGGGAATGAGGCTTCACACAATGGAGTGTCAGGCATTCAGTATCAGGTAAAAAAGAGACAGAAACAACATGTTGGATACTGTGTGTGTTCTGTTACGGCAAAGATCTTGATCACAACGATGGTTCATTCTTCCAGGTCATCCCCCAAATCCAAAATGCAGATGGGACCCTCACAGGATTCACACAGGGACTGGACGATGGCACAGGGCAGATCCACCTCCTCCAAGATGGCGGCCAGGGCAGCATTGGAATCAGCTGTGCCACGACGTCGACCACAGACCTTCTGACGCAGGCGGGGCACGTACAGTCGATCCAAGGCGTCTCGCTGGCCGGGGGGTCGGCGTACACCGGCACAGTAGGGCTGCCCGGCAACATAACGTTCGTCCCTATAAACAGTGTGGATCTGGAGTCTCTGGGGCTGACCGGAGCGCAGTCGGTCCCCATCGCAACGGGGGTAACGGCTGAAGGGCAGCTGATCATGGGTGGCCAGACGCTGGACGGTCACGGCCAGGACACTGGCGTCAAGCAGGTGACGGTGAGCGCCGCAAACCACGAACTCTACGTGCCAACCACCACGCCCTCCTCTAACTCCTCCCATCTTCCGGAGACCATCGACGGTACCGGGGTCCTGACCCAAGCAACCGCCGTGTCTGCGGGCGTGTCCGACCCGTCCTCGGAGAACTTCAACTCCCACAACCACCTGCAGCAAATCCAGGTCAGAGTGTGTGTCTTTCACACCACGTCATGTGTATGTTTAGTCAGGTCTGCGTGCTTTAAGGCAGTGGTTCCCAGACCGGGATTTATTTTATTTCTTTGCAATATGCTCGACACGCTTACCTCCTCCGGACTCTAAGGACGGGGAGGTACCCGGGTTATCGGCCGATTAATCGGCTACCGGCCTTTTCCTATCATCTTTATATCGGCCGCGCCATTGTGTGATTCTGTTTGAAGACGCAATAACAGAGAGACCGAATCACAGACGTGAGGCTTTTTATCATTGAATGCACTTTTCTTTTTTAAAAGATACGCGTTTGCTTGAACTGCTCCATCATGGCTCGTCTGTGTGTAGTATAGTTATTGTATCGTTCTTTAAAAATCTGAAAGTAACCTATTAAATGTCAAGTCTTAAATCTAGAAATCACCAGCCTCAGCGATGAGTGCTATTAAGTAGACAATGATTTGATTTAAGGAGCCTAACAAGTCAAACGTTTGGAAAACATTGCTTTAAGACACCAATAGAGCTTATTGCGTCACTGTGTATTTAACCTCAGTGTGTCTATGTATCCAGAGTTTTACACGCTTGCATGGCCGGCCCACCTAGATTTGGCTCATAATAGGGATTAATTTGTTTTGTAACTGCGTAACTACAATTGAAAGTTCAGACTGTACTTCTATCGTCGTCACATGTCGGCTTGTGAATGCATTGCTGTTGTGCAACAACCTCTCCAGTGTTTCGGAGCTCCCCGCCCTGAGGCTCCACAGCCACAAATCAGTTCTTTGCTCGTGGTGAAATGCTCTAGCTTGCAATTTCTGAACACGATTAAGACTAAACTATCCACTGTACCGTTGAACCAGGACCTCCTGCATTGAAACATGACATGAGTGCGGCTCCCTTAGCCTTTTTGTGTGTAATTGTATTTTATTTTCTGCAGGTCTCATCCTCACACGCCACCACTCTCTCGCAGCCCATCCTGCAGCTGTGTGGGGACAGTCAGGTTCAGGGTCAGGACCTGAATGCAGGAGGTCAGACTCTACAGAGCGTGCAGCTGGTCAACCCGGGGACCTTCCTCATCCAGGCCCAAACCGTCACCGCTACCGGACAGATCCAGTGGCAGACCTTCCAGGTAACCCGATCAGGGCCGTTTGGGAAGCGGCCTACAGAAGTCGTTGAGGTGTCTTTCTGTGAAAGATGTCAGATTACTAACAGGCATCTCATCTCATCTCTCTCTCTCTCTCTCTCTCCGTATAGGTTCAAGGTGTCCAGTCACTCCAGGGGCTTCAGCTGCCCCAGGGGCAGGGGCAGGCCCAGCAGCTGACCCTAGCCCCGGTTCACACCCTCCCTCTGGGTCAGACGGGCCAGGTCAGCCTGCCCAACCTCCAGACAGTCACGGTGAACTCTGTGACACAAAGCGGAGTTCAGTACACACAGGCGGAGGACGCAAACAGTCCAGCTGGTATGGGGAACACCTGCACATGCTGTACTCTCACACATAATGGATTCATTTGAATTATTGCATCTCTTAAAGAGGCCCTAAATCTTCACCTCCTTCTTCTTCCCTGCTGCAGGCATCCAGATAAAGGAGGAACCAGACTCCGAGGAGTGGCAGCTGAGTGGGAACTCCACGCTGAACCCCAGCGACCTGAACAACCTGCGCGTTCAGATCGGAGACGAGGACATGGATATGCAGGGCGGGGAGGGCAAGAGGCTCCGCAGGGTCGCCTGCACCTGCCCCAACTGCAAAGAGTCCGGAGGAAGGTGGGCATGTCGGAAAAACACACACACGCACGCGCGTTACACATACCAGGAGGGGCTGGTGATCAGCTCACCGTTAACCAGCTTTACATTTCTGTGTTGAAGCGGTTCAGCTGGTTTTATATTCTGTTCATGTGGCATCGAAAATTCAGATTGGCATGAAAAACAATTCCTGCAAATGTAAGATTATTATTCAGTTGTTATTCAGCATCGTTGGGTCTTTTATTAGGTTTGTTTGTAGTTCAATTGCGTATTTTCTGCCTTTTGCGTTCATTTATTTCCCAGTATTTGCATTTTTGTACTCATTTTGGCCCCCTTCCCCCCCCTGGCCTTCCACAGAGGTTCGGGCACGGGGAAGAAGAAGCAGCACATCTGCCACATCGCCGGCTGCGGGAAGGTCTACGGGAAGACGTCTCATCTTCGAGCTCACCTGCGCTGGCACAGCGGAGAGAGACCCTTCGTCTGCAACTGGATGTTCTGCGGGAAGAGGTTCACCAGGAGCGACGAGCTGCAGAGACACAGGAGGACACACACAGGTGAGACACTTTTATGAACCGCCTCGTAACACGGTTATACAGATTCATGTCTGAAGCTAGTTATACGTGGTGAGTTCATGTTGGATGAGTGACATCAAACCATTGAATTGTTGCCTTCTGTCCATGGTACAAACTTTAAAGGCACATATTAATTTTTTTCAGAGATGTTTCTGTTGTTAGACTGCAGTTAAAACATAACAGATCCCACAATATATTTCATATTTGTCTGCAACTGTTTTTGATTACACAATGTTCAGTGATGAGAGGTGTCGAGCATCATCTGTGAAGTGAGAAAATGAAAACTTGCTCTAATGCTGCCCAGGAAGTCTAGAGCGCCGAACACTTCATTTCTTGTATAATGGGGATTAAAAAGAAAAAAAATCTATGCACCAATATTTGGTGGAATTTTTTTAATTTATGTTAAGAAAAATGCATAACGAAGACCCCTTCACCCCAAATTTAAGAAATCCCAGAATTTTCGTACTTACTCGTAGTATTTCTGTACTACTGTGAACAAAGTAGTTCCAGTGAAAACGGTTCACCTTGTGTTCTGTGTGTTGTCTGGATAAATCACAGTAACCAGCACACTGTCTCTACACAAACACGTTGCTGTTGAGTGTTTGTCAATGTAATCTTTTAATAGTTGGAGCCTCGCATGGAGCCTTTCCATACAAAGACACACATTGTTCTTCAACTGTTTACGATCTGAGAAGATAAACTCGTCAGTGCTCTCTGGTGTCACCTTTTTCTAAATGACCCCTAAGCAGATTTTGGGCTTCTCTGCACCGCCATTGATCGTTCCTTATTGGCCAACATATGAACTGATTGAATTGACCGGCCCACTTATATCAGTAGTTGTTGATGTGTGTTATCTTGTCTTGACGTTTGTTTGTTTCCGCCGCTCTCTCAGGAGAGAAGAAGTTTGTGTGCACAGAATGCTCCAAGAGGTTCATGCGGAGCGACCACCTGGCCAAGCACATAAAGACTCACCAGAATAAAAAAGGCATGGTCCCATCCTCCACGTCTCCGCCCACCTCCGACACCGTCATCACCGCCGACGGAACCACACTCATCCTCCAGACCGCCACCCATGACCTCCTAGCCAATCAGGAGATCCCATTGCAGCTGGTCACCGTGGCGTCCGGTGAGGTCATGGAATGAGGGCGTGAATTTGGGTGGGTTTATTTTGAGAACTGGCCTATCACAGGGACCTCTTGGGCTTTTCTCTTTCCCCTCTAACCTTTTTTTTTTTTGTTTGTTTTTTACATATGAATATATACGTAAATATATATGACAAATATATATATTTTAAGAGTTATCATGACTTTATGTTTGTTTTTTGCAGTCTTTTTATAGGCGGGCAAAAAGAAGTAACATTAAAATGTGGTTGCTATTTACACATGTACATACACGTACGTATGTACGTACACACACACACACACACACACACACACACACACACACATACATGCATTAACACTCAACATGAATACTCAACACAATGAAATGCCTTATTTTGTATCATAATCTTGTATAAAATGCTGGAAGTGCATGTGTTTTTTAAGCTTTGCAGATGATGTAACTGTACCGGAGATAAATGTGTTTGTGAAATGGCGATGATGATGATGAGGAGTTTGTGAAAGAGAGAAAAGGAAGTAGTGGACTTCTCTGGCATGATTGGATTTTTGTCGCTGGAGAGTTCTGACAAAACCAGCGCTGCTTCCACGCTGAACTGTTGCGCTGCTGCTGCTGCCGCCACGACCTAAAAGTGGTAGTTTTTAAAGGAATAGTTCAAGATTTTTGGGATAAATGGTTTAGATGAGAAGATTGCCACCACTCTCCTGTCTGCATGGTAAATATGAAGCGACTGGAATTGGGGAAACGGCTAGCCTGGCTGACAGAATCTGTCCGTCAGCACCTCTAAAACATCACAACTCCAACACGTATCTTGTTTGATTAAAAGGTACAATATGCAACGATCTCCTTTAAAACAATGTATAGACTGGAGCATGCGGTGGTGTCTGTATCTGCAGAGACCCGGCCCTCGGCCTGTATTTTCTCTTCTTTGGTGTCTGGACGTGTTCTCATTCCCAGGTCAAACACTGCCGCTATGTCACACAATCGAAGTACACAGACAGACAGACAGGCAGGCAGACGGGTGCCTTGGTCTTCGCGACACCTTCATACACAGCATACAGCCACGTGAGTGCTATCACTCGTATCATCTCGCTCTTAAGAAAGCAAATAAGCGTATTTCCCCCCCCAAATTTTGAACTTTCACTTTGATGAACCCCACAGCAGGGCGCTGACACCGATGTCATAGTGTAGTGTGTGCCGCTTCAAGCAGAGCAGGAGGTTCAGCTGGTGGTCAGAGTAGGAACTGATCAGAAGTTGTCGTTTTCCACCTGGAGGTGAAAATAGATGCAAGCCGCTCTGAAAAACAAAAAGGGCAACTTCTTCCAGCATCTGGTCAGTGTGAACAGAATGTCTCATCTTGTCTTCACGAGCACACCGTCCGCTGTGCTTGTCCACGTCAAAAAAAAAAAAAGTCTTTTTTTCTTTCTTTTCATATTTTTGTTGTAAATTCACGTTGTATATCAGTTTCCTGTGTCTCGTCACCAATCTGCACGTCGTCTAAGCCGATGCCACACGATGGTGACCGCAGCAGGGCGGAGCGGTCGTCTCTGTGCTCCTGCGGGGCTCTTCGTTGCCATTGTCGGCTGCAGGGGGATGCACACGCACCGACATTGCCGTGTGGAGAAAACAAATGCAACAAATCATAAAGCCCACCCCACCCAAGGGTGTGTTTGTCATCGGACATTCCAGTTGGACACCAGATGATGTGGGATTAGTTTCGCAATAACGGCCCTGTTTTAATTTTGGACGGCTGTCACTCAAGTCAAAAGGAAAACAATCAATCATGCCATTGTTTGTTGTTTTTTGTTCTTATTTTAATTAATGTAATCCCTTTCCTCAGTTTGTCGTTTGTAGCATTCATTTACATGTATATTATCTTATTTTCACATTGTTTATAGAAGCCATTACTTAGTTAACTGAATTTGTTGTATCAAAACCTTATTTTAAGTGATTTTTTTAAAGAATTGGTGTAAAAATTGAATGTTACCTTTTGTAAAACCTTTTTTCAAATGGATCACAATAAAAGTCTGAAACCTTCCAATAACGGGTTTTGTGTGAGTCGAGGAAAGCGTCGCGGTACTGCCCACACAGAAGAGTGAACCTAATCTACGCCACACGGAGGTTACACACGGAATCAAACTGCAGTACGATCTGCATCCTAACCACTGAATCAACAGGACGCCGCCAGTGTTGCATGTGCAAAAAAAACCAAGTTCCTAACCTTCTTTCAGGCGTATGTACGACATCAACAAACCCAGCTTGTTCTGCATGTTTTAATTTGATTTTAAACTGGATGAGACAGTTAAATTATGTGAAAGTATATATTTGTATGAAGACAATAGACGGGACAGTTTTCATGCTGAACACTGCTGTTATCACTGATTCATGACATGCCTTCATGTTCAATGACTTTTATATAACTTTTTTTTCATGAACTTTCTTATGACATACTATGCTGTGACTTTTTAAAGTATTTTTACGCGACATACCATACTAGGATTTGTTATAAGATGTTATCAAAAAAGTCTTATGATTGTTTTCATGAAAATGTTATGACAAACCATAGTGTGACTTTATTCATGAAATTCTTGACACAATATACGATGACTTTTGACATTTTGGATGCCTTACAATACGATTGTTTTTAAAGAAACTTATGACATACTGTGCTTTAACTTTGTGTGACATTTTATACTGACTTCTTTATGACATTTTAAAATCTCATCCATTTATTATAGTTGGCTAACTATTTCAACCTCTTATCAATTACCTATCATTATCTTTTGACCTAATTCAACAGTTAGCCTAACTTAAAAGGTAAAGGCTAACTTATTCAACCCGTCATTCATTACATTAAGCTCATTTCAACTGTTTATCCAATACTTATACTTACATATTGCAGCCATGTAGCCGCTACTATTAGCTAACCACTTCACTTGACCCATCATCTGTAGCTAACTGTTTATCCATCACTGTCCGCTGGTCATGTCTCTCATACTTTCACATGCAACACACGGTGTTCAGGTGTTACAGCCTGTTTAAATGAATTGCGTCTGTCCAGTTTTACCACGTACTCTGTGGCACTGCAGAGGTCCCCTTTGGGGTTAGTTTGCACATTCATAAACATTAAGTAAAGAAATATCTTAAGCCAATCACTGTTTAGGCAAATACCTTAAAACATGCATGAATCGGTGCCACACTGGATCACTTCTTAATTGGGGATCTTTATTTAACAAAAAGTGAAACAGGATGATCCTGACAAATCAACAGATGTGTAACCAAGAAACAAAAAGTTTAACATTTTTCAGCTCAACTCTAACATCATGGCGACTCCTCCCTCACAGTACCACAAACACTCCCGCGTTTGTATTTTATGCTGCAACCCACACAAGCTTCAAACATCTTTCCCTGAGAGTCACAGTGACGTTTAGCATCCAGAATAAACGGAGGATTCAATCGAGCCCGCTGGTCTCGTGCTTCATCTTTATGTCAAATACCAGATGATGAGTGTAAACATAACTAACAGTGATCCCATACATGTTCCCTTTAAGTGTTGTGGAGTTTAGGTTGGGCACTAACCATCTCCTACAGTTTGAGGGGATTCATAAAAAGATGACTCGTGGATACCCCCCCTGGACATAATGTATATGTTGATAGGACCTACATTTGTAAGACTTACCTATTATTTCAGCATTTTGTGGGCTTCCCAATTTATAATTCATGGTAAACTACAAAAAAAACAAACAGATAATTGTGATGTGATGAATAACGGGATCATAGTTCCCTGCATGCGACACCCTTCTGATTATAAGTGATTTTGCATTAATTTGCAATGCGGATATAAACCCCTGAACTTATTAATGTCATGATATTGACTTCAAACATCTTGCCCAGCTCTGGTATTAAGGTGTGAAATGTATTGAAGGTGAACTTTCAATGATTGTTCTCCTTCATATGAACTCAGTCTAATTGTAAACCTTAACCAATTTAGAGGCCTAATAGCTTTGTTTTTTTCCCGTCACTGAACAGAAATCCCTCCCAACAACACACGTTTCAGAACAAAACCCAAAGTTAACCAGCAGTGAGATCTTCTATGGTCCTTCTTCCCCTTTGTGCTTTAAATCACAGGCCACACCAGAATCCCAATCAGTGCAAACGTACAGACTGACTTCTATCACAGGGGGAATAAAACTAGACTGAAAAATATTAATGATTCGCTTCACAAAATACATTCTCACCACTTGCGCACGCACACGCACACACACACACACACACACACACACACGCACACGCACACACACACACAACAATCTCTTAAACCCGACTCCTCTTCACACGTTATAAAAAGAACAAAAAAACAAAACCGTCTCAACCATTTAGCGCTGGTTTGTGGTCAGTCCGTCAGCAGTCTGCCAAGGCAGGAGAGGAACCTCTTTAAACTCTTTAAACAGAGTCCAGTTCACCACCTCATCACAGCCGCTGCAGGATCCTCACAACTCTGTGTGGACGTCTGGACAGAGAGACAAAGAAACGATGTGTCAAGTGGACGAGTGTGTTCGGGTTAGTGTGTTCTTTCTATTTCAGCCCATATTTACTGGAGTGTTGGGCGTGTTCAGTACCTGTGTCTTGCGGTGTTTTCGTGTGGTTTACTTTCTCCTTGACTCTGGTCTGCAGACGTTTAATCTCCTGGTCATAGTCGGTCCACTCGGCCACGATCCTCACCGCGGCGTGCAGCTTGGGCTCTTTCGTCATGGGGTTGTTACACTGAAATCAGGAACATTGAGCCGTGTTACTACTTGGTTTGGTAATCTCTCAACAGGTGACAAGAACAATGCTGCATCTTGTGTTGCAAATAATCTTCCTCTGCTCCAGCCTCTGTGATTTCAGATTATCTTTAAAATAACTTTTCAGCTCAACAAACACTGTTTAGCATCCAACCCAAATTTGAACCCTAAACATATGGATATATTGTTCAATGAAAGATTTGCTGTTTTTGTATCTGAATCACTTGATTTTTGAACTCATGCACAGACTCGGTACTCTATAACTTCCTCTCAGTCGGCCTGTCTGCCCTCTAGTGGCTGTTCGGAGGCGTGACGCTCTCTTCACTCGGTAACACAGCTGAACTGTGCAGGGAGCTACAGATCTACGACACTGTGTCTTCTGTCTTTTCTTTGAGCGTTTCATCCCGATCCTATCGCCGACGTCTCCGGACAGACAAACTGTTGTTACCAGGTCTATCGTCTTGGCGCTCTTCTTGGTGCTGTCATCGCACCAGGTCTCACACCACAGCCACTCCTGAGGCAGAGACTTGATGGGCACCTGGTGGATCATGTTGTTGGGCAGATCCTGAAAAAAAAAAAAAAAAAAGACGGACAATGAGACTAACGATGGCGGCAGAGACGGGAACTCTTTTAGTTGTTACAGTGATGTCTTTGTTTGAATCAAACCAGGAAACAGCATGTTAAAGCTTTAGATTCATTTAACTTTTTCAAACCTTTAAAATCATGATATCAAGGTTGATCTATAATATGCAGACAAGCATTGGAAAAAAAAAAAAAAAAAAAAGCATCTTCTTAATTTACACGCCCCCCTCTCATTCTGCTGCCCTGACATAAATACATTTAATAATAATAATGTCAAGGACATTAGAGGCTGCTGTACGATGCATTCACGTTGCGTTGTCATAAAATCATAAGCAGAGGCACAAAAAGGTTCACATAGGTGAAGGTTTTCACTACCTTCTCAAAACCACACACAAAAAGATTGAAGGCAACAAACGTGTCCTTTAAAAACAGCCTCATTCTTTACAATCAGATCCCAAATGCACAGTGAGATGAAATATGTGGACAGCGAGTGAGAAGACGGACCTGGTCGAGGTTTGAAAGGCTGTTGGGGTCCTGGCTGAGCCCCTGGTACTGTCCTCTAAGTCGATCTCCTGCAGCTATCTTCCTGAACTTCTTCAGGTCGACCACGTACAGCGCACTGCAGAGGGTGAACAACGGGAGCACGTGAAATAAGCATGAAAGTATGAAAAATGTATTCAAAAAGAGAGTAAAGGCCGTTCTTCACCAGGGGCCATTTCTTTTAACTGTTGATTTTGTCTTGAATACTGTCACACAGAACACACAGAACACAAGGTCCATTTGTCGAAGCTTTCACATCTACCAATCACGTTGTTCGGAACGGGGGACAACGGCAGCAGAGACATGATCCACTCCTACCGTGGTTACCTTTCACAATAAAAGCCCTAGACAATATTTGCAATATATTGCACTTTAGTGTCGTTCATTTTGACATGCGCTCGTTGTAACAGCCTTCAGAGTGTGTGTGTGTGTGTGAGGAACGTTTCAGGGCAACTATTAGAACTCAGCTGAGCTGTCGGAGTCGTGTGTACCTGATGTGGTATCTGCGTCCAGCGAGGTGGCTCGCCCAGTAGCCGGACTTCCAGAAGCGGTAGCCGTCCATCTCCCTCCGGCTCTCACAGAACGGAGTGTAACCGTACGGAGCTCCCTCCAGGTCGAAGTCACGCAGCTCCTTCAGGTCTGTTCGCACAATCTGAAGGAGAGAGAAGGAGACATGAGACAGTTCAACATTTTACCAGATCTATATCATAAAACTTGCAATTTTCTGAAATTTTTGGATAACTTTAGTTCAAAGGAAGTCCAGAAATTATAACTAGTGCTGTATTTTTCACATTTATCAGTTGTTAGTTTATTCATCTCGTTCTTTTTATTGCATCAGCTTGCAATCTGAAAAGTAAATAAAAAAGAACAAATATTTGGACGGATGAAACACGTTGTACGTCTTGGCACGAGCTAACCTGGTCAGCGTCCACAAACAGGAACTTGTCGACAGCGAGAGGAAACAGCACATCCAGGAACAGGATCTTGTAGCCCCAGATGATCCTCTGCTTCTCGGTCTGTTGGTGTAACCAGCGAGGCCACTTGTACTGGACCAGCTCGTACTGGAAACCATACTGCTGCGCCATGTGGGGGATGAACTCCTGCAAAATGGCCACACAACAAAAACAGGCCTTTA